TGCCTTTGCTGCTTAGAACTGTCCTTGCTATTCTAGATCTCTTCTCATTCCAGATGAATTTTAGGAGTGATTTCTTGAGTTCTATGAGGTATGTTGAGGTATTTTTATCAGGATTGCATTGAATCTGTATAAATGTTTTGGGAGAATGGCCATTTTCACAATATTTATTCTTCCTATCCATGAGCAAGGGATGTTTTTCCATTTTCTGAGATCATCTTCAATTTCATTTTTTAGTGTATTATAATTTTCCCTGTACAGGTCTTTCACTTCTTTCATGAAAGCAATTCCTAGATATTTCATTTTTTTTTTTTTTTGGTTGCTAGTGTGAAGAGTGTGGCTTCTCTTATTTCTCTGCCAGTGATTTTTTTGTTAGTGTATAGGAATGCTATTGACATTTGAGTATTGAATTTATATCCAACTACATTACTCAATTAATTTATAATACCTAGTAGTCTTTCAATGGATTTTTGGAGATCTTCTGTATAGAGTATCATATCATCTGCAAATAATGATAGCTTAACTTCTTCTTTTCCTATCTTTACACCTTTATTTCTCTTTCTTTTGTCTAATTGCTCTGGCTATTATTTCCAATACTGTATTAAATAGGAGTGGTGATAAGGCATATCCTTGTCTTGTTCCTGATTTTAAATTAAAGGCCTTCAATTTTTGGTATTTAGTAAGTTATTGGCTGTTGGTTTGTCATAGACGGCCTTTATTATATTGAGGTAAAGACCATCTATTCCGATTTTCTGCAAGGTTCTTATGATAAATGAATGCTGGACCTTATCAAAAGCTTTTTTTGAATCTATAGAAATGATCATGTGGTTCTTACTTTTTGCTCTATTGATATGGTATATTACATTTATTGATTTACATATATTGAACCATCCCTGAATGCCTGGAATGAATCCCACTTTGTCATGGTGTATGATCTTCTTGATGATTTGCTGCATCCTCTTAGCCAACATTTTATTGAGGATTTTTGTATCTGTGTTCATTAGGGAGATTGGTCTGTAGTTCTCTTTTTCAATTGGGTCCTTTTCAGGTTTTCATACTTGAGTAATATTTGCTTCTAGGAACGATTTAGGAAGGATTGCTTCCTTTTCAATTTCACTGAAGAGTTTGAGGAGTGTTGGCAATAGGTCTTCTTTATATTTCTTGTAGAATTCTCCAGTGAATCTGTCTGGGCCTGGGCTCTTCTTTGTAGGTAAAGATTTAGTTACATTTTTTATTTCATTAATAGAAGTTGTCTTGTTCAGTAGTTTTACATCTTCATGACCTAGCTTTGGTACTTCGTATGCTTCTAGGAATCTGTGAATTTCCTCTGTGTTATCAAACCTTTGAGAGTAGAGGTTTTCAAAATAGGTGTTGATGGTTTTATTTATTTCTATAGGGTCTGTAGTGATTACTCCTCTTTCATCCCTTATTGCATGGATTTGAGCTTTTTCTTCCCTTTTTAAAAATAAGGTTGGCTAGGGGCTTGTCAATTTTATTTATTCTTTCAAAGAACCAACTCTTTGATTCATTGTTTCTTTGGATTTTTTTTTTTTAGTCTCTATTGCATTGATTTCTGCTCTGATTTTTATGATTTCTTGTCTTCTTTTGGCTTTGGGGTTGACTTGCTCTTCTTTTTCTAGATGCCTGAGGTGTAACATCAGGTTATTTATTTGTATTTGATATGTTTTCCTGATGTGTGAACTCAGTGCAATAAATTTTCCTCTGAGGACAGCTTTCATTGCATCCCAAAGATTCTGGTAAGTTGTATTTGTGTTTATTTTCTTGTAGGTAGTGTTTAATTTATTCTTTAATTTCCTCTGTGACCCACTGATTACTCAAGAGTGTATTATTCAGTTTCCATGTGTTTGTGGGAATTTTGCAGTATCTTTTATCATTAATTTCTAATTTCATAGCGTCTGATAGCATGCAAGGGGTAATTTCAACCCTTTTGCACTTATTTAGATACATTTTGTGAATTAATATATGTTCTATTTTAGAGAATGATGCACACACTGCTGAGAAAGTGAGTATTCTGTTGTTGAGTGGAATACTCTGTATATTTCTATTAAGTCCATTTCTTCACAGGTTTGATTCAGTTCTTTTATTTCTTTTCTGATTTTATGTCTGGTGGATCTGTCCATTGGTGTTAATGGTGTGTTAATATCTCCTGTTAGAATTGTGTTACTATTAATTTGGTTTTTCATTTATGTTAGTTCTTGTTTTATATAACTGGGTGTTCTGGAATTTGGTGCACATAAAATTTAAGATAGTTATCTCTTCCTCTTGGAGTTTTCCCCTAATCAGTATGTAGTGACCTTCTTTATCCCTTCTGATTATTATTGGCTTGAAGTTCACATTGTCTCCAAACAGAATAGCCACCCCTGCTTTTTGGGTTCCTGTTGGATGAAGTATTGTTTTCCATCCTTTGACTTTCAGTCTGTGGGTATTCTTTTGGGTTAGATGGGTTTCTTGTAGACAACATATGGTTGGATTTTTTTCTTGATCCATTCTGCCAGTCTGTTTCTTTTAGTTGGTGCATTGAGACCATTTACATTAATGGTTATAACTGTTATATATCGGTTTATTGTTGACATGTTATCTTTCTGCTGTTGCATCTTTATCTTTTGGTACTGTTTAATTGTCTGCTTTGTTTAGTGGCTTTTTCCTAAATGTATCTATGCTGTCTTTCAGTATTATTTGCTCGGTTGGCTTGGTGATCATGTAGTTTTTCAGCTGTTCTTTGTCATTGAAGTATCTTATTTCTCCATCCATTTTGAAGGACATTTTTTCAGTGAACATCAGTCTAGATTGGAAAACATTTTCCTTTAGGATCTGAAATACTTCACTCCACACTCTTTTTCTCTTTATTGTTTGTGCTGAGAAGTCTGCTGTGATTCTGATAGGTTTTCTTTTATAGGTGACCTGTCTTTTCTCTCGGATAGCTTTTAATATTCTATTCTTTTGTTCGATTTCTACGCTGGCCACTATTATGTGCCTGGGTGTAGTTTTATTTTGATTATGGCTATTTGGAGTTCTATATGCTTCATTGATCTTGATAATCATTTTCCAATCTCATGTTTGGGAAATTTTAACAATTACTTCTCTGAATATCCTCTTGACATCCTTTATGTTGTCCCCTTCTTTTTCATTTATCCCTATCAACCTTATGTTGTTCCTCTTTGCGTCATCTTGCAGGTGTTGAGTTATTTCCTGATTTCTTGTTATTTTTAAAAGATCTTTCCTTTTTTATTCACTGGCTGCAATCTTGTCTTCAATGTCTGAAATTCTATCTTCACATTCATTGATGCCATTTTTACAACTTTCAATGGAGTTTTTGATTTCCTGTATATCTCTTTGCATCTGCTTTATATATTCTTTTTGTTTCTTATATTGTTCACCTAGAGATTCTATCCTTTTGTTTAGTTCCTCCAATTTTTTAACTGTGTCTTCTTTATATATGTTCGACATCTCCTTCATTTCTTTTATCATTTCTTCTTTTACCTGAGAGATTATTTCTAGTTTGAATTCCTTTAAGGCTCCCCAGATTTGCTTCTTTATTTCAGTTACTATTATTTCAGGTATGTGGCATATATTTTCTTCTATGCACATGGCTCCTAGGCTTTCTTAGGATGGGCTGGTGTTTTGAAATTGCAATTTGGTCTTTCGTTTTGTCATTTTCCTATATTTTCAAGCTACAAGTGTTGTTCCAAGTGAGGGAGAGAGGTCAGCCAGGCTGGGACGGAATTCCCTTGACCCCTCCTGACTCACTGAGCTTGACAGGAAGCCGTGGACTGGTCCCCAGGCAGGAAAGAGAGTTCTGCTGGGCTGGGGCGGGGTTCCCTGCCTCTTCTGGACTTACTGGTCCCAACAGGAAGCCAGAACCTGGCCCCCAGGTGAAGAAGAGAGTTTTGCTGGGCTGGGGAGGGGTTCCCTGCCTCTGCTGGACTTACTCATCCCAACAAGAAGCAGGGGCCTGGCCCCCAGGCGAGGAAGAATGTTCCTTGCTTCTGCTGGACTTACTAGTACTGACAGGGGATCCAAATATTCTAAAATTGTGCTTTAGGACTTTGTTTAGCAACTACAAAAAGATAACATAGCTCACTGTGTATCAGACCACAATGGAAAGGTGAGAGATATCAGTAATAACAGATCACAGAACTAGAGTAATACGTGGACATTAATCTTTTCAATCAGCATTGTCCTTTGAAGACATCAAAGGGAAAATAGAAAATTTATAGAGGAAAATGAAACTGGAAATACAGTTCCTTAAAAACTATGAGAAATTTTGAGATCAATCAGGAACCATTTACTGGTGTGAGCATACAGTTTAAAGCAGCAGAGCAGCATCAAACAGGAGACTGCATGGTACTTTTCAGAGTAATGAGACTGTGAGAAGTCAGACTTAAAACCAGTTGAAGAAGATAAAGAATAAATACTAGAAATTAGTGTAACAAAACAAAAATCAATATAAGTGGCTGATGATACAATATAAAAGAATGAGAAGATAAAACAGATTCATAAGCCCTTAGAAACAAAAAAGTAAAACCTTTTTTTTTTATTCATGTAAAACTTGCAGTACTTTTCTGTATTCAGAACTTGTTGCCATGAGAACATTTTGAAATTGTACTAAAAGTAAAATCTTCAAATATCAGATATTTTAAAATTGTCTTTCAGTGTGCTTATGTTAAATTTTCACATTGTATTTTAATATGAAATTATTAAAATAATAGTTACATTTAAATTATTAATTTGCTGCATAACACAAACCTGTCAAAGACATGTAGACACATCTGGTAATACACTGGCTGAATAATAAATATGTAAATCATGTGATCCCTTAAGACTTTGAGGTATCATCCTGAGAGGTTGAATTGAATAATGTGATTTTTTTCCCCATTGAGTTGGCTGTTAACACACTTAGGAACAATTTTAAATACTGGACAGGACTTCTTCCCCAGCCTTGGCCCAGGGCCTCTCTCTTGGTCTCTGTGGTTTAATTCCCCATGGACCTTCCCAAGCCGACTTCAGAAGTGGACTTTGTCTCTTTGCTGTGGACTTGGTCTGTGTGGTCCAAGTCCCTGTGGACCTTCTCAAGCGAACCTGTACCTGGACTTCACACCACCTCCATGTCAAGATGGCCTGGATCCCTGAATTTTCCAAATGTTCACACAGATATCACTGCTGAGGAGTACAGGGATGAGGTGAGAGTGTGGGCTTCCTGGAAAGTATTCAGTAAGGATCATCAAAAATATGGTTTTATTTCTAAGATTCTCATGAGTCTATAGCGAACTGTCCAATCTAGTGAAAGGAGACAAAGTGTGTATTTAAAAAATTCATTACAGGAAGAGTTTCACCTAAAAAACTTAAATGAAAATTTTGACTAACATGAATTCAAATGATAGTTGAACAGATAAAAAAATGATAGATCAATAGTGATTTTTCTTTAAAAGCATAAAATAAAGGTTACCCTTAAATATTCATAAGGTAGCTTTAAAACAATCTAGATTTTATACAATGCTACATAAAAATTTATGCTGACTTTTCAAAAGTGCTACTGATTTTTAATTTAAATATATTATGTTGCAAATTTAAATACTATTTTTGACTTAAAGTCACAATGCTTAAGATTACAACTATGTGAGTCATTAGTGTATTTTCTTTGGTTACAGATTATGTATTGGAAATTATTGATATATGCTGAGGAATACAAATTGTGTTTCAATTATTCATCTTTTTCGTAGTATTGCTAATTATAATGCATCATGCAGTTCACAGTAGCAGTATATTCTCTTGTTTCATGTGTAATCATTTAAATGGTTGATTAGGCAAAATTAAAGACCATGTTAAAAACTGCTAATAACTTTTGAGTATTAAATAAAATATATTCAAACATTAGGAAATAGCACACATGAAATATTTTGGGCCGACAAGTACACAGGTGACAATGATATGAACAAAACGATTCTGAGGTTGGCAGTGGTGATGATGAAATGAACATATCACAGCTGTGATGGCAGGAAAGTTGCCCTGGAAACACTATCTTCATATGCAATAGTGTCAAATGTAACAAAATAGTTTAAACCATTCAAGAGAATGAAAGTACTACAGGGCATTCAGAACCACATAACTCAAAATGAACAATGGCTACTATATTATCTCATTTTCCATAAAAATTTGTTTATACTATCACACATAACAAAATACAATAAGATTCAACATGATAGGGCCAATGGAAATCGACTTACAGATTATATTAAATCAGCAATGGTTATTATAATGTTTATTTTTTTCAAAATAGCTGTTCATATCATCACAGATAATAAAATCAAACAAACCAGGATAAAACCATTCCAACTAATGAGTGAAAACATTATAAGGCTTCAAAGTAATGAAATGGGGAATCATGATTACTATAAACTCTTAAGTACTCTTACCTTTTCTTACACTATGGGGACTATATGGTATTTATACATGTGAGTTTGATCTATTTCATTTATGAGAATGGTCTCAAGTGGTGTGCACTTATCTATAATTATCTCAATGTAATCATTCTTTATAGGTGAGTAGTACTCCATTGTATAAAAATACTAAAACTTTTTTATCCATTCCTGAGTTGATGGACACTTACATTGTTTACAACATCTGGCTATTACAAATTGTGTTACTACAAACATGGGTGCACATATATCACTGTGGTATGATGCTTTCATTTTTTCTGTGAATATGCCTAGAAGTAGAATAGCTGGATCAAATGGGACTTCCATTGCCATCTTTTTGAGAAATCTCCAACCTAACCTCAACAATTGTTGTACCAGTCTACACTCCCACCTAAAGCACAGGAGAGTTGGTTTTTCTCCAAAGCCTCTCCAGAATTTGTGGTTGGTAGTTTTCTTGATCCTGGCCATTCTTTCTGGAGTGAGATGGAATCTCAGTGTTGTTTTAATTTGCATTTCTCTAATGACTAATGAAGATGAACATCTTTTCATATATTTATTTGCCATTTGTATTTCTTCATCTGAGAACTGGGTATTCACCTTAAAAGCTCAATTTGAGGTTGGGTCTGGAATTTTGGGGCTCTGATTTTTTAAAAAATTCTTTATATGTTTTAGACAGAAGCCCTTTGTCTGAGGGACAGTACACTAAAATTTTTTTCCCAGTTTGTGGGTTTTCTTTTCACTATTTTCGAGTTTTCTTTTGACATGCAGAAACTCTTTAATAAGACATGATCCCATTTATTGATTCTGGAATTATTTTCCCTGCTGTTTGATTCCTGTTCGTGAATTCTCTACTTACCCCTACGTTATCAAGGTTTTTACCCAATTTGTCTTCGAACAGATTTAGTGTTTCTGTTTTAATATTAAAAAAAAACCAAATATTTGATCCATTTAGACTTTAGTTTAGTACATGGTGATAGTCATGAGTCCCATTTTAGTTTTCAGCATATGAAGAGACAGTTTTTCCAGCACCATTTATTAAAGAGACTGTCATTCTTCCAGTGAACATGTTTGGCTCCTTTACCAAAGAAAAGATGGTTGACTGTGTTCATAGTTGTGGCTGTATCTTCTAATCTGTCACATTGATCTTCAGATCTGTTTTTATTCCAGTACCGTGTTGATTTTATTATGGTAGCTTTGTAGTATAACTTCAAGTCAGGGACTGTGATGCCTCCTGCCTTGCTTTTGCTGCTTAGAGTTGTCTTTGCCTTTCTAGGTCTCTTGTAGTTTCAGATGAATTTTAGGAGTGATTTCTCTAGGTCTATGAGGTAGGTTGATGGTATTTTCATGAGGATTGCATTGAATCTGTATAACAGTTTTGGGAAAGTGGTCATTTTCACAATATTTATTCTTCTTATCCATGAACAAATGATCTCTTCCCATTTTCTGAAGTCCTTTTCTATTTCTTTTTTCAGGGTATTATAATTTTCCCTGTATAGATCTTTAACTTCTTTTGTGAGATTAATTCCTAAGTATTTCATTTTTTGGATGGTAGTGTGTAGGGTGTGGCTTCTCTTATTTCTCTCTCAGTGATTTTATTGTTGGTGTATAGGAATGCTATTGATTTTTCAGTATTGATTTTGTGTCCAGCTAGTTTGCTGATTTTATTTATTGTATCTAGGAGTCTTCCAATGGAGTTTTGGTGGTCTTCTATGTAGAGTATAATGTCTTCTCCAAAAATGATAATGTAACTTCTTCTTTTCCTGTCTTTACTCCTTTTATTTCTTTATTGATTTATATGCATACACATACAGTGTAAGTTCTCATCTTGATGACAACAATAAGTAAATAAAATATGTGGATTTAAATATGGATGTGCAGAAAAGTGTTAGAAGTTGATGGATTTATAGTATTTATATTGTTCACATGTGTCAAATTCAGATAAATATGTAAGGCAGAAAATGAGCATCATTTTTCAAAATAGTTTGTTTTTTTAATACAAAGCCATAGTAGTTTAATAAGGTAGTGTGGGTAAAATAATAAATTAAAGTATCATTGTGTTTGTATTAAGTATATCATTGCAAGGACACCTGATGAACAATTACACTCAGACCTCTCCTGACTTCATTCTACAGGGCCTGTTCCCCCATCAAGGATTGGTCTTGTCCTCATTGTTCCCATCTTCTTGATGGCCCTGTCTCATCCTCCTGGATGCCCACCTCCCCACTCCCATGTACGCCCCCCTCAGCCAGCTCTTCCTCATGGGCCTCATGTACATCTGCACCACTCTCCCCAAGATGGATTCCTGTTTTCTATCTGGAAACAAGTCCATCTCCCTTATCAGGTGTGGGTTGTAGACAGTAGCATTTCCTGACTTTAGCAGGTACAGAAGGAGTATTCTGATGTCCATGCCCTATGACTGGCATGTGGCTATTTGCTTTCCATTTCCCTGCCTCAACTTCATGAACAGAAGAATGATTGTGTGATAATCCTTGGATCTTGGGCAATGGGTGCTATCAATGCCTGTGCTCATGCAGTATGTATCTTTCGTATTCTTTGCCGCAGGTCCAGGGCCATCATGAATATCTTTTGTGATGTCAGGGTCATGCTAACTCTGGTGTTCATGGACACCAAGGTCTATGAGAACACTGCTTTTCTGAGTACTGCCTTGACTCTCTAGTTCCCTTCCACGGACATCATATTTTTCTAAGGGAAAATAATCCTTGCTCTCTATTACATGCACTCACAGACAGACAGGAAGAAGCCCTGTTCCACTTATACCACACAAAAGTACCATGGTCACTTTCTCCTATGCCCTTCTATCTTCACATAGCTATAGACAAAGTACCTCTGATACCCAGAAGAGGACAAGAGCCTGGCTTTCTTCTGTATTTACTCTGAAGCTCAACCCTATGATCCTTAGCCTGAGGAACAAGGAGGTGCTGGGGGCTCTGGGAAGACTGAGTGTGAGGTTCTCTTCTACAAATTGTAGGTAAATTTCTGCCTTAGTGCATTCATCAGTCAGGAGTCACTGGAAAAGTGTTCGATGCTGAATTAGAATGAAGGTTTTAGGTTGAAAAACTTGAAGATATGACATGACCATAATTATGCGTTTGAGTGTGTACATTTTATATTTCTTTGTCTCACCTTCTAATAAAAATGATGGGCCTGCATTTTTCAATTTGAGAACAATATTATAATAGAGAAACTAAAACAAAAGTACAGAAATCCTTTCAGTCCTTTGGAATGTGTTGTGTGATCAAAATCTTTGATGAGATTTTTACCTCTAAAATTTCAGTAAAAGGCACACTGTCAAAAAACGAAGCAAATTACCATAAATTCCTATGAAAACACTCACACTCATTGAGCACACACACCTTACTGTCCTTGCTTCTTTTCTTGCATCTTGATTAGCGGACATACTGACCTTTCCAAATGTAAGTGACAGAAAAAGTCATGTTACTCCTTTCTCTCAGGTTTACCAGGGATGCATAAAATAAAATTTCCTTCCTGTATCTTCCTCTTCTCCCAATCTTTCCTGCTGTGCTTACACATCTTGGTCTCATGTTAACAGAAGAGCAATGAAACCAGCTGAGCTCTGTTATCACTTCCAAACCCCGGGTTTGCTGACCCCAGGGTCAGTGTGCTCAGACACTGTACTTATACCTGATATTTACCATCAGCACATAAAATCCCTCCCTAAAACACAGTGCACTGTGAGTGTCACTGGATAAACACAGAGCATAACACGTGAAGAAATACATCAT